ACTTGCGTGCATAGAACAAATTAGCATTTTTCCATGAAAAAGTGAAGTTTTCTAAAATGTGCGTTTCTTTCCAGCATTGGGGCGCCCGGGAGTCACTCGGGTAACATTTTATAAAGTATAATATAAAAAGACCATATGCAAATTTTCTGTACTTTTGTCGGAAAAAAAATATTTATCCAGCACAATGTCGTCTCTTTTTGCGTTGGAGAAGAGCAAAAAGTGAGTTTCAATCATACTTTGGCCGCTCTCGCAAGCTCTCAATCGTTTCACTGTGGTCAAGCGAATTTGGGGCAAGCGGTTAATGAAAATACTAATCGTTAGCTTTCTTCTGGTATTAAACTTGTTTTGATTGATTGTATACTTTTGTCGGAATAAAGGAAACAAAAAGGCTTGACCAATAAATTATCAGCGTCTGAATTGACCTTTTGACCTTGAATTCCCTAATTCAAGCGCACATAAACAGGTTCCAATGACGTCATCTTCGCTCAATCGGTGTCTTTTATCCTAAAATGCTACACTTTCACAATGTTTTATCTTTTTTTAATTATTAGTAAGATATAACATATTTTGTCTGATATCACTGAAGTTTTGGGTATTATTTAATGAGTAATTTTAAAACAAGAGCCATTTTACTGTTTTAATTTACTGGATCGTACCATTAAATGTAAAGACCAGTATTGGAAACGCCCCAATTTCAAAAAATGAAATGGAAGCTCTCATTACCAATCATGTGAAAGAATATGTTTTGACTAATACATGATTATAAAAAATTTGCCGGGAAACCGCCTACTAATTCATATATTTGGTAAATTTGTTTCTCTCATGGTCTGTGAGAGATATAGGGTAGTCCCATATACATCTTTCTGTGTATAGTGCTTGTAACTTTACGAAGAATGGGCCAAATTTCTTATCATTTTGATGATTCCAGAACCTTGCAGATGCTAGATGCTAGATGATCAACCTTTTCTGATCGATTCCACAACGTTTCTTTCACAATGCAATCGCATGACCATAACTGGTCTTTACCTTTAAAGTCGCAGGATAGAAAGATGCATTTCCAACCGCGCCAATTTTAATTTACGTTCCGACATTCTGTTAAATGGGTTCGTGTTGTTAAGAATATACTGCTTTCTGCTCCACCAAATGTCCACATGCAGAATCGTTTATCAACTAAATTATTCAAATTTATGGATGCTTCCTTCCCAGGTGTTTGTGTTGTTGAAGCATTTCGTTCACCTGCTGTCATTCTTTGTACTCCAAATGCCAGAACGCAAATTACATTTTGGTTTTATAGTTTCATGCGGAGTCGTTTATCAACTATTATGTATTCAAATTTATGAATGCTTCCTTCCCAGGGGTGGTGTTTATGCATTCATTCACCTGTTATTATTCTTTGTACAATGTAATGTGTCCCCTCATTTTGTAATAGTTAATTTACCCATTCACATAATGGAACTACCTGCCCGGTGAAGCCAGTGGCCCGTGACCCCTGAGCACTCAACACCGTGTGGGAGTCAGTTTGTGGTTAACTTCTTTTATGAGACAAATCAAAGCAAACGTTTCCATATGCCCCCCCCCCTTCCCGTGCGAAGCGCGGAAGCTTTGACGTTCCATTAACATATTAGAGAAAGAAGACGATTCGTTGTACCGTTCACTACTCTTAATCCTTGTCTGAATTCATTTTTTCCCCGTATAAGTGCCCTTCAAAGCTTATTTTGATCCCTTCCCTGTTGTTTTCTAGAACTTCCATGATGACCTAGTACATTGTATATGCTTTACTTGCAGATGGTTAACCTAGTAACATGCATGTGCTTGCTTGCATTGAGGTCATTTTAGGTCTTACATATTGATGAGCTGTTTGAAATTAACTAGGAGGTATGCGCGTATTGGGGAATGTGGCTTGCTGCTCTACTTTTTTTTTAAAACTTCCCACGACATGTAATGAGTGTTTAGTGTACATTATATGGGACGTACAGTGATAGATGGAAAGTTATTTCAGTATATTCGAAATGACTTTTAGGTAACTCCTTTTTCCTCCCACATCATCAACATTCATTCATTTCATTTCATCTACATTAGTTCATGAAATGCATTCAGAAAAAGAAGAAAAAAGGAAACGAAAATAACCCGTTAAAGCGCGGAAGCTTTAACGTTTCATTAAAATATTAGACAAAGAAGACGATTCGGACGATTCGGGCTACTAATCATTGTCTGAATTCTCAAAAATGTTTCTTTATCCGATAAAAATTCACACTTTGTAGGAGATAAAAAAACAACCGACATAATACATATCAGATATCACCGACTTCAAACTTCTACATAAATATAGTATACGAAGATCGAGCAAGAATACCGACACAGCGGACCCGACACAGCAACAAAATTATATATGCGTATCTTTTTTGCTCCCTCGACGTGGGACGTGGCGACTCCACCAAACATACCCCTCTCTCTCTCTCTTTCTCTTTAATCCCCTTTTTCTTTTGCTCCTTTTCTTTCTTTTTTCTTCTTTTCCTTTCTTTCCTCTCCTTCGTATTTGTCTTTTTTCTCTTTCTTTCTTCTCTTTTCTTTCCTTCCTTTCCTTTCTTTTCCTTTTCTTTTCTTTTCTTTCCCCTTCCCTCTCCTTTTTCCGCTCCCCCTTTTCTCATTTTTCCCGACAGCAGCGCAATTTTACCGACAATATCTTGACAGGTGGGGTTGAAAAGCGAATCTCTACTCATATTATGAATAGCGACCATCTACTCCTATTATGAATAGCGACCCTCTACTCGTATTATGAATAACGAATCCCTACTCATATTATGAATAGCGACCCTCTTCTCCTCTTATGAATAGCGAACCTCATTTCGTATTATGAATAGCGACCCTCTTCTCCTATTATGAATAGCGAACCTCATTTCGTATTATGAATAGCGACCCTCTTTTCCTATTATGAATAGCGACCCTCTTCTCCTATTATGAATAGCGAACCTCATTTCGTATTATGAATAGCGACCCTCTCCTCCTATTATGAATAGCGGACCTCATTTCGTATTATGAATAGCGACCCTCTTCTCCTATTATGAATAGCGAACCTCATTTCGTATTATGAATAGCGACCCTCTTCTCCTATTATGAATAGCGACCCTCTTCTCCTATTATGAATAGCGACCCTCTTCTCCTATTATGAATAGCGAACCTCATTTCGTATTATGAATAGCGACCCTCTTCTCCTATTATGAATAGCGACCCTTATGAATAACGACCCCGATTTTGCATTATGAATAGCGACCCTCTTCTCGTATTATGAATACCGACCCTCTTCTCTGATTATGAATAGCGGTCCTTATGAATAATGAACCTTATGAATAATGACCCTTTTCTCCAATTATGAAAAGCAAACCTTATGAATAGCGGACCTTATGAATAGCGGACCTTATGAATAGCGACATTGACCCATGGGTTGACCCATGGGGCTAGTCCGCCCTGGGGGCAAGTCCGCCCACCCCTCGATTCTCAGCCTTGCGGTGATTGGATACAACTTTCACCGGTGATGTAGTGACAAACTAGCCACACCGCACAACATACAACAGCACGAGGACAATGGCTTTTTGATAAACAAAATTATGCTAAAATTTCCATTTCAAGGCCACTTAAGTAAAAAAAACTTGTCTTTACATTTCTTGTATTTACCTGTAGACATTGATGGAAGTGGTAATGGTAGTTTTTGTCGTTAAAAAGGTATGATAGGTGTCTATTAAAAAATGTTGGAACAAGTCAACATCGGTTGTACATTTTGCCTAGAACGAGATAAACGACGATAACAGCCCCATGGGGCTAGTTCGCCCGTATTTGACTAATCATGTTCACCCGGCGCATTGAGGGGCGAACTTACCCCATTCACTGTGGTTGTTCCTACCTTTGGGGCTCTTCAAAATTATTAGATTTTATTGAAAGTGAAAATACAGGCCCTTACCTGGCAACTTCAGTAAAGTTTAGTGACGACTGTGTTTATCCAACTTGATCTGATTCTATGACTTATTATATTTATTTATTTTGACATAAGTTTTGTTTTCCTTTTTCAGAGTCCGCCTAGTGTTATCACCAGCTGTTCTACGCCCAGTACACCTTGGTTCAGCTTATTTGTTCCCATCCTTCGTCAGAGATTATTTCGTTGGCTCTAGTTCCTTTTAAATAAATGTTTATAAGTTTTAAAACACTATATTTGTTTCATGTATTTATTTTCCCTAACAGGGCGTACCTACCCCGCCAAACGGACGAACCAGCCCCAGGGTGGGGCAATTTCGCCCTTTTGTCGTAATTAACTTTATGATTCGTTTTTGTGAAAACTATGTGCCTGACCCCAGTGAGAGTGGGATATTAGCTAGACATTACCTATGACTTGATACATGAAAAAGCATGGTCTTCCTGCGTATGAAATGACGGCTCTAGAAGAGTGATATAAAAAATAGGGCGAACACTCCCCGCTCTCCCCATAAATGCGGGAATAAATAATTACAAAGATATTCACACAAAATGGATCTTTATACCTACTCCTTTTGGAATCTCGTGGTAATACGTGGCATGCCAATTCAAAGAAAAATGTTTCATCGTTCGTGTTAATTTTTTTTTTAAAGCTGTAGAGTTCATACAAGCGCGTTTATGAATTAATAATTGTCGATATATCGTAGGATTGAATTGTGGGAATGAAAACATGATTTATGCATATGGTAAGACATTTTGTTAGAAGCTAATTACCAAGCAGTAATTGAGAAAATGTTGACGTCATTACTCATGAATAAACATTGGACCTCAAAAATCGTCGTTCAAATTGGACAAAGTTTCCATAATGCCCAATGCAAAACCTATGCCATGGCCCATGTCACAGATCACAATTTTAGTCATCCTATTGGTATGATCGAATCTCTCTAATTACTACAAAACAAAAATTTGGTTTCTGTACTTGCGAGCGCCCGGCCGCAGAGGGCGTTAGACTAACAATTTCCAGAAGCGGTATTTCTAAAAAAGATTTGGAACAGTGACGGTTTCGTTGCAAAATCTATTCTTTGTCAGATGGATGCCTAAAGCCAGTGTTTGTAGATTAGATCTCCAGTGGAAGAAGAGATGTCTACATTATTCGCTTATGAAAAAAACAGGTGAGTAGCTCGTAATTTGCGTCTATGTCGACTTGTCTTCAATTTCGTTTGCAGCTCTGCTTTGACGTTGTCCCACCCCCTCAAAATGATGTCATGTCGTTTCGGGCAACTCTTTCCGATTTCGAAAGTCGGAGACTCGGGGAGCCTAAAGGAGACCATTTGAAGGAAAAAAGGGGAAAACAAGATAGAAACAAGATAGAAACTTGATGGTATGGAGTGAGGGTGTTTAAAATTGATCAATATACACACTTCATTTAGTACATTCTTGTTATCAAAATATCAAATGGCATTTGGCTTTAGAATTAGAGTAAAAGGAGCCTGTTTTCGGCCACTTAAGACAAAATCCTATTTTTTGGACCCTTTACTTCCTATTTATTATCATTTCTTGTTCAAATCATGAAGCAAATATTATTATTATTAAAAAAAAAAAAAAATCCCATTGCCATGACAATATTCATTTCAATTTTCACTGTTTCGGAGTCGGTTATCGGCATAGCGAACCAGTTTTCGGCCGCATGTACAAAGTCAATAGGAAGCGCGCGTGCCGTGCGTTTCCGCGCTGATCTATAGCACTAGCGGGCGGAGCTCCCCGGAGCTCGCCCAGCCGAAAACTAGTACTGCCGTGATCGGAAATTGGAATCTGAATTAGACAGAGATATCGTGTGTGCGTTGCGTTGTGCGGCTGCATTGATTTAATACATGCGATGAGATACTTTTGAGCTTGCGACTAGCACAAAATCGGGCTCTAACTATAAAAATACTTGAAATAAAGCTCATTTTATGGTACCCATATTTCTTACAGACACGCGTAAGATACTCAATTTTTCAGATTCGGGTAGCGGGACTGCCGATTACATCGCTAAAATGTGATATTTTAGGATATATTTTTCATTGCAAATGTGGTTCTTCAGTGACACTGGCATGGTATGGTATGTGTGGGATATGTGTTGTGCTATTATGCCATGTATTTTAATGGGATTTTACTATGCATCCAACCAATCGGCCGAAAACTGGAGCTGGTCGATTACCCCCTCCTTTACTCTATTCATATTTAAATTAATCCATCAACTGATCAAACAGGAAAAGAGGAACCGAGGCCGAGGAAGAAGAAGAAGAGATCCATGCGCTTGTTTTTTTTGCTAGCCCCAAGGGATCACAAGCTATTACAGTTTGAAAAAGCTGTTCCCCCGATTTTTGGGATCAGCTAAGTAGGGAGGCGTGAGCACCGCTCAGCCCAAACCCAAACCCATGGCGACGGCTTGTAAAATCTGCACATGCATGCAATTCGGACAGCCTGTGACAGCGTGTGTTTGTATGTGTATTGGTTGCGATCGCGCTTAAGTAGTGCATGCACTTGCATATTGCGCAATGCAGCTGTATTGACAATAAATGGATGAATATTGCAGAGTTTTTGAGGGGCTGTATCTTTTGATAGAAACAGTCTTGAAATTTGAAATGTATTATTCTAGTTACATTCTTTTTTGAATTATCCATTCCAGCCATAAATGGTGACAAACGATACCAAATTGAGAATTGAAAAATCGGTCAGACACCCTAGAACTTAAAGAAGAGGAACAAGGAAAAAAGGTGGAGGAGGAGGAGGAAGAAGATGATAAAGAAGATGGAAAAAAGAAAGAGAAGAAGAAGGAGAAGCAATGAAGAACTAGTGATAAAGTCAACCATCCAGTCATAGTCATCACTCATAGTCATACCAGTGTATAACTGTTCAATTAACTCTCTCATTCGCAATTGCATTTTTTTCCCAGATCTGACAACCCTTTCTACGATGTACCAGAACCCAGAGCATTTTACCATCCTACCTTACCAAAAAATCTCACTAAGAAAACACAAGGAGTGAGTATTTATTGTTTCACCTGTTCATTTTAAAATCATTAATATATGTCTTACTTTAAAACTTTTCTTTTTTGTGTAATATCTATCCTTCTGCACGCCTTGGAAATGTGTGTACCACAAGTTTCTTGGCTTTGTCAGACGCTGACCCACTTTTGTTACTGACAGGAAGTCTACATGTGTTAAATGCAGTAAACTGGTAAACGTGAGCATCTGTTCATTGGTTTCTTGTATCGCATGCTCCTCCATGATTACTCCAGCTTGAGTTAGGCTAGCAATTTAGCTGCACAGATAATGTAAGGAATATCTTCCTTATTAAAGTTCCTTCCATGTAACAATGTAATTCATTAGGGTTGAAAGTGGCAATTGTAATTAAAGCTGTGTGACAGACCTTTCTTGAAAACAAAACAACAAAACACCAGCAACAACAACAAACAAACATAAACAAAGCTACATGTATGTATAATTAAAGTCCCTTATTCCTATTGTGTATTATTTTCTATAGATTTCTCTAAGTCCAGAGAGAGTGAAATCCCATCTCAAGGCAAATGAAGATCTGCGGCATGGGAAAGGGAAGGAACTGAGCCCTGGAGAGAAGGGGTTTCTGTCTGGATCAAACACCATGCTTGCAAAGGAATTACCGACTCATGACACTCCAAGCCCAGGGTAAGAGTAAACTAAGTTAGAAATATCTTACTGGTATTCTTACACTAGGAGGTTAGGAGAGAGGAAAGCTATTGATATAGAGATGAACTTCCTGGCAGCCAGCTTAAAATCCCATGGCAGACCTTGCAAAACTTGGAAGGAGACATAAGAGGAAGGTATGAGGGTATCTGGCCCCACCCAGGTTGATGTTAAAGACCAGGATGCTTGGAGAAGGGCCATTGAGATGAAGTAACGTCCAACCCCACAGTATGGACAAAATAGATGTTAAACACTGGTGATAGTATTCTTAATCTACTTATTGCACAGTGTACTGTTGTTTAACACCCATATGGGTAATGATAATGTGCTGATCTTCAATCAATGTTTACTGTCCAATTCCATGGTGCATATATATTATATGACTCCTGAAGACATACAAATGCCCACTCCACATTTGAAGTTTTTCCAGTCTGAGTGAAGTTAATGCAACCTTGTAGTAAAATCTTCTTCTTATGCAGAGTGCAATTCATGTAGAACATTTTTAGTTTGAACCATCCTGGTTTTGCTAAAATGCTGTCCCAAATGTGTGCCTTTTGTTCCTTTAGAGGGAACATTCCTAGAAATTTTGTATTTATTTGTTGTCTCTCTTTTTTTAATACACACATCAGTATTGAAACTTTTTCTTCTTATGGGCCTTCCAATCTTGGCACATATAAGCGTACTCCTCTGAAGCATGAACATGTACTAGGAATATGCATTAGGATGAATTCTCCTGGAGGGAATGATCTTTGATATTTTCCGTTCCTCGTCTGATATAGACCTGCTGATACGTCTTCCAAGTTTGATGAGTCTTGGCCTGCTAGTGAACGCCCATCAACGATCGAGAGCCCTGGTGATGCTCAGAATGTTTCCTCTACCTCAGCTGCTACTAGCCATGTCTCTGGGTCAGGAGTATCACCACATACATTTGGTAATACCGGGTATATTTCTTTAGATATTCAGAGATGGCTATATTGGAAAATAAAATGACTTTCAACTAAGACAAGTTTCATTTTTATAGGATGTTCCCCTTATTACACAGAATTCTTTAATATTTTTTTTTGCTATGCTATCTATTTGCTATTTATTAAACCGTTTTCCTCTGTAAGATGTCAGCCACTACATTTTGCAAACATTAAATACAAAGTTTGTTCATAATTTTCTTGATACTTTTTTTAATTAGTTTGGTTAGATATCATTCTGATTAAAAGTAAGCAATTAGTTAATTAAGGCAGTGAACTCCACTTTTATTTATAACTGTTGGATTAAAAAAAGATGAATATATCATTTGTTTCTTTTCAGATCCAACGACAAACACCAGCAGGCAAAACTCAAAGCAAGACTCTGACAGTACTCTAGCCAGGTAATATTTATATTCATGAATAATTTTTACTGAATTAAAGGGTAGGGTGCTAATAATTAATTAGTGCAAGTAAAAACAACATTGGATCTAGCTGCTGCAGCTTCAGCAGAAGGGGCAGTCACTACATACTGGGAGGGTGTTCTGTGTCTTTACAATTCTGGGGAAGAAGGAGTTATGATGTTGCAGAGTCCTGGATGAGGTTTGATATATCCTTGTGAGTGAACAGCTCTTGTTGGTCTGGTTGATTTGATGATGTGTGTCTCTGAATTGAATGGAACTAGCTGGTTGTGAATCTTGTAGAACATCACAAGGCGAAGGCGTTCTTGTTGCTGTTGGAGTGATGTCCGTCCAAGCCCCTGCAACATTGATGATACACTGATGTGTTTCGGTATCGATTCAATGTGTATGGCGATGCCCTTCGTTGGATCATTTTTAGCTTGTTGATGTTATTGGCCGTTGATGGATCCCTTACGGAAGAGGCATATTCCACCAGGGGTCTGACTAGTGTTCTGTTAGCTGTGGCTTTCAAACTTGGAAGAGTTCACCCGCAGGTTTCTTTGTTGAAAGACCAGGGTGTTGTAAGCCTTTTGGCAGACACTGTCGATGTGTGTGTTCCATCTCAGGTCTGATATTATTATTATTATTATTTTATTTGGCAAATCAGGTCACATAAATACAACAATATAACAAACATGAATTGAGACAAAATCAATAGAAAACATTCAATAGCAGGTGCATCTGGTCACGCTGCCCGGGTATGAAACAAGTTAACCTATGATCTGAAGACCTTCCTCCCCACACCTGACCAGATGCACCTGATATTCATTGAAATATTTATATCAATACATAAACAAAAATTCATTTTCATTGAGAACACAATTTCAACAACAATCGGTCTCAAAGCTATTGCACGATCATAATATATACAGATGAAGGTAGGCCCTATATCATGTATATGACAAAAATAGAAATTCAGATCATACTAGTCGTACAATTTTGTAATGGTTTGGAATGGTTAAAAATGTAGTGTATTATTTCAAGTACATGTAATTATTGTTTCAAATTATATAATACGAATTGGACCAAAAATTATATGGTATTCATCGTAGGCGATTCCCAGATTATGTGAAGTCAATGAGAATTTTTTTTTTAAATTAGAGACTTGGAAAAGATATACAAATACTACAATAGATTGCTGCTTATGAAGTCGCTCAATAATAATATGCAGTTAATGACATTACAATATATGTCTGTCAACTTCATCAAAGCAGGACCATAACTCAATACACAATAAGAATTATTGATATTCTATACATTATTATAAACAGCAAATAATAAATAGATAGAAATAAAAAAAACATAAACGGCATTAATAGATCACACTGTTACAAATATATACATTTACATGTTTAAGCATATTCATTATTATTATCATTATCAACATCATCATCATCACTATCATCATTACAATCATCACTATTGCTACCATTACATCATATAAATATCACCATCATTATTATTATTATTAAGAAATATGATACAATATGATCTAATACAACATAAATAAAAACTGAATCATATATAAAGATTAACAAGACAGAGTTCAAGTGGAGCACCAACTTCCCATTTGAGTCAATAATATATTGTTACGAATATGACGAGGAAGTGTGTCCCAAAATCTGAGAAATGAGTTAATGGCTGAACTACGCAGTCTTTAAGTTCGAGCAAACAAACGTTTCAACTTCAGGTCAGTACTATACCTTGGGTTTACATTTATGGCACTGTTTACACTATCGCAGGATACATTCATAAACAAACATATGATAATGAATGTGATCAAGGTGTACTTCCGACGAGACTCAAGAGATGACCAGTGAGTGACCAGTGTCTTTATAGTGACACCAAGGTATTTCAGGCTTCTACAGGAGTAAGGATGGAATGTTCAGTTTGTACTGGTGTACAATCCTGTCTCACTTCCTGGTGACTGAGATGACCTCACACTTTTTGGTATTCAGTTCCATCATCCACCTGTTAGTCCAGTCTATGAGTTTGATGAGATCTTGTTGTAGTTGGTCAGCATCAGCATCTGACTGTACAGTGAGGTAGATGATGGCATCATCAGCAAACAAATAGACAATCTCTTGACTGGAGTCATTTATTAAGTACAGAAAAATTGTCAGTTAAACTTTTCACAGCACTACTGAAATAATTACTGAAAATTTTTGCTTCTTCTCCTGAATTAGTTATTTCATTTCCCGAGACTTGTGACATTATTTTTTCGGAAACGTTTGCATTTGTAAATGTTTTCCATAAGGCACCAGGATTACTCTTATTCTCTTGAAGAAGAGAGTCAATATATGCTTTTTTTTGTTGATTAACCATCCTATTGACAACATTTCCGTAATATTTGTATGTGTTCCACTAGTAATAGTTCAGAGACTGGTATCGTCTTATCACAATGAGTCTCTGTTATAGCTATATTGTATATTATATAAATTATTTATTTTAGAGTATATTTTAGATCATCTATCTACGCTGGTAACAAATTGATATTGATATGGCAAATTTTTTTATTTTTCCCACTAAATGACTTGATAAATCTGTTTTCCAGACTATAGTATGCAGCATTTTCTTCCGTAGTATTTGTATAGTATTGATCCGTTTAGGGGTATCCTCTCCGAGTCTCCAAGTTGTCCATCCAGTCACGTGGAAACACTGCTCCTCTCACTTTCCACCGGGGATTGGTGGTTTGACATTTCAGAAAATAATGCTGTGTACTGCGATGTGTATCTGGTCGCAAACATAGTGACCCCGTTCCTATTCAAATGAACGTCATCTATAGAGAGATGAACATCTGGGCGGGTCTCATCGTTGTCAATAATCGCCCATCTACGCTCATTGGCCAGAAGTTTCATGCAGGTGTTCACCCTGTCCACAAAGGCGCCATCTAGTGGGGATTCATCTCGGCAGTGAATTATGGTTGATATTACCACCGATTTGACATCAGTCTGTGTGACAACTTTGTGACAAAGCGACGACAGCTCCGCAACAATCCCATCTTCATCATCATTGTTTAGGTTCTAAGAGCTGAGATGAACAATAACTTCCTCGGGCTTAAATTGCCTTGCCAGACCATCAATAACTTCATATGCGTTTTGGCACCAGAAAGTGTTTTAAATTTTGCTGTTGTTCGCTTTGAAAGTCTTAGAGGGTGAAATATGTCGAATCATTGAGTCTCCGACAAGTAGAATTTGAGCTATCTTCTCTTTTGGAATATCATCATCATCCTGATTAGAATTGTCAGGTATTGACCCAAATGATTGCTTTTGTCTATCACAGTATTCAGCCAACTGGCTTTCGAAGGACATTTCATCAGTGACCTTGCTGCGACTAATCTCTGTTGAATCGGGTCACTGTCTTGAGTCTTAGACGCCGTCTTTTCAATCAGTGCGTCAATGGTCTTTGACATTGTTTGTATTTGTTCCTTTAATATCATAAGCTCAGGATCCATTTTGTTACTTATACAGGCTTTGTTCACCTCCCTTTCGGATATTGTTTGCGTAACATCAGTGGGATCAGGTGGTCGCTTTCTAATATGTAATGGCGGCTTTCTGATAAGCTTTGACAGCTGACAGCTCCTTGAGTACTCATGTCTCATCAGGACCAGAGGCTGTCCTTGGTTTGAGAATCCCAAGCAATTTACCTGCCGTTGTGATGATCATATCTGGCATGGTTTCATAAGACGAGGTGGGAGGTAGCAGATCAGGTGGGGCTGGAGTCTCTTTCGTGAACACCGCTTGTAATTGGTGTTTGAAGGCATTATCTTTCTCAGTGGGGTTGGTTAACTTCCTTCCATCTGAGTTGAGATGTGAGATTTCTGCACTGTCACTCCTGTTATGTTTAATGAAGCTCCAGAATCTCTTCATGGCCCCATACTGGTTTCACTACTAGTTGAACTAGACCATTGTCATCCAACATCTCTCTAAACTTGTGATGTAAGGCAGGGTGGCCACATTCTTTCACCCTTTAGTTCATCCAGTCCCATCCTGGGAGGTTGAAGTCTCCCCCAATGATAATGAGGTGATTCATGTTCAATTCATGTGGCTTGTAGTAAGATGCGACATAAAGGGTTTTTTAAGACTATCTTGACAAATTTATGGCACTTTAGAATGATCACTCTAGATAGGTTTCCTCCATACATGTGTAAAGATGCTCACTAAAACAGCATTTACTATCTCTTCTCTCACTTTCAAAGACTCATAGGCCGCTTTCGGTACGGCACTCCCCAGAGCAGGGAAGAGAGGGCGCAGCATTCAACTCCCGGTAGCAAGGACTTCTGGTGGCTGTTTTCCTCATCTTCATCTCCCCCGCTTCCATCTCATCAACTATCGTCATCCTCAATCTCTGGTCATGCCACCATCGAGACCACACCCATCCGAGGAACCGGTCTTGTTGGTGGTGTGAGGGGGATACAAGGGGCTCGAAGGGGTACAGGCAGTGGAAGCGGAAGAGCAAGGGGTGCAGGAAGGGGTGCATCAAGGGTACCAACCTGGTCTGGAGTTTCTAAGAGTGGAGTCTCATCTCTAAGTAGCAGTAGAAGAGTGAGCGGTGTCTCAACTCTTACCTCATCATCAAGCAGTGTAAGTTAATTTGGGATGATGTTGCTTTTTTTATTGTGATAAAACAAAGATAGCATACTGTATTTATTATTATTTTGGTTTCGTTTAATATTGAACATATACTTTAGGGCAAAATAACTTTAAAAGAGCACAGGTCTTTATGGTCAACTGCTTAATAGGGTTAAAAATCAAGACCTTTTATGAAGAAATGAATCTGTGGAGCATTCACATTTGTGTTAAATTTTTTGAGGGAGACAAACCTTTATGGTCATGAAGATTCTGAACTTTAATCCTGATACTAACTCAAATTTCATATTTAGAGCATGACTTTAGGGTCAATTCATTTTTATAGCGAAAAGTTAAATTCATGTGAGATGTAGTTGCTGTGTGGTAAGATGTATATCTGTCATACATTTGGTTACTTTGAAGCGTCACTTTTGCCAAATGTTCTTGTGTTTTCCAGCATTTATTTCATGACCCATTTATGGAAAATTAAACTTGTTTGGCTCACTTTAAAGATGTGTTTTAAGATCAATTCTTTGATAATAATCATTTTCTCCTGTTGTTTCTCTTTCACAGTCACTGAAGACCCATTCTTCTGGTACCGATAAGGAGACAGACGAGATTCAGAGAAGAGCTGAAAAGCTCCTTGAAATAAGGTAGGATCTCATTGGTTATCAGATGGGGATGTGTCTAAGTGGAAAATAATAGCACAGGTTAAATGATCTTGACAATAGTTATGTTCTTTTTTATTTAAAATAATTTTTCTTTCTTCCAACTTTTTATGTAGATACTTTCTGAAACAAAATCTTTATTTGTAACACTCCATTCTTCTAGCTACTTGTATACCAGCGTCAAGTGCCCCCACCCCTACCCCCCCCCCTCCTAGCTGCTATCGACTCAAGCATTCATGCTTATAATAATGGGCCTCTGCATTTATCTTGATTCTTTGATCCATACTTTCAAGTTTTCAATTTGATCTATGTTTTTTGGGGGTATTTCAGTTGTCAAATTGTATATAAGTCAATTACATTGGATACTCTTATTGTTTGCTGATTTTATATTTTATTTCTTAATAAATGCAGGAACATTTGCTAAAAATAAGGAAAAACAAGACATGCAAGGTAGATTTATAATGATAATAATACAAGGGAAAACAATAAGACACATTTGTATTTCCAGAGAGGGCGAGTCATTTTTGCCCACGGTTCCAATGAAATGCCAATTTATTCTTATTTTTCTTCTTATTTTCTGTTTGATACATCAGTGATAGGACTATTCTCAGTGAGCCAGCAGTGAGTTCTGATGGGGTAGGATCATTCTCCACTAGCTCCCCTGTCACAGATGAAAACACGCCCTCTTCAGGCAGCGAGGCGTATACATCAAGATATCATGGTAAGACAATGCCAAAGTTTGCCAAGATCCAGCATTATAATCCACTTTAATCTTCTAATATCACTTTCGTAATACAGGGTTAAAGCTCATGAAGAGTTTTGGTAGCAGGATGGATTATTGGAAAGAAACATGATAAACATAGTCTCATGTAATTCTCTTTGTATCAAAATAGATGTATAAACTTATTTGGTATTCTATCCATGATTTCCGGTGAATTTTAAATGTAAATGTCTGCAAGCAAATCTAGATAATGGCTTTAAACTCCCTTGTGCTATCAATCTCAGCACTTTGTCAGGAGATAGTGTCTGTGTTCACTGAACCTTTTTCACACACCCCTCATAGGTTTTACACATGTGTAGTTCTGGTTGTCGTTGTGGGATTTTATGTCCCTAGGTGGGATACCTAAATTTATTTTACCTCTTGTTTGTATAATATTTCACTTGAGGAAGAAGACTTTTCGCAACAGCTTAGTATTGCATGAAACTTGTTACATACAAATCAAAGAAATGAACAGTTTTTGAGGGCTTAGCAAAGCTGTAGGTGATCTTTAAACTGTTTATTCATGATAAATATATCCAAACATCAATCTCTCTGTTCCAAAATTAACACTGGTTATGAAAGAGATACTTCAGATATTTACTGGTAACCAGGATCATATAACAATAACAAAGCACTCATTTCCGAGAGATGTGGTTAGGTTTTGACTATATTCACACATTTACTGTTGCCTGAAAATAAAATAATGGATGCAATGCATTCCCTGAATCAAATTTGATATTCTTAATGTACATGTTTGTAGTTACATTAATAAAGCATGTAACCCAATAGTAGTAATTTTGTCAGTGGAATTTTGTTCTTTTTGTTGTGAAAGGTGAATAATTCAAAACAAAATTCCTGTAACTACATTTATTATGAATTGGTTCTGTTTTAAACATTTATTTGAAAAAGAATATGTAGATCTTCCTCTACCTGATTAATAATTTGTTTCTCATTTTTCTTTTGTAACTTTATAACAAACACCATATGACCTTTAAAAAGTAAACAAACAATACGATCACCCAAATTCCCCTTTCTTCCCAGGTATCCTTACTTACAAGTACACACAGTAACCTGAATGTTATAGAGACAACATTCTTCAGCTTTTCCTTGGAAATTTGTTGTCAACTTTTCAACTTCCTTTTTAACAATCACATTTTCATTTTCCAACAGACAAAGAGAATCTGCCAAGACCCCCGCTGTTCCCAGCTAACCTCAGCTACACAGAGCGTCCTCAGGGTCTCGAGGAAGACATTCTACAACAATGGCGCATGAGACGCAGGATGGAGCAGGCTAAGGAGGGAGCTCTTTATAAAGTGTCGGGTCAAAGGTCGCAAATCCCACTCAGACAGACCCAGCAAGAGAATGTCAGAACGAGAGATGGAACTGTAAGGAATGAGTCTGTTAATCTTGAAATGCCTATTTAAACTAAATAATCTCCTCTGTAAGGCAAACATGATAAAGAAAAGAATGTGAAGCATACTCTCATAACAAATAAAGACATGCCCCTTTTTTATATTTTCCACCTGACACATTTTCCAAGATGAGTCAAGCATTTTGCTAGAAGATTGCCAGCTTTGTTTCAAATGTCTGCAAGTGAGACTTGGAAAGGACTTTTTATGCACAAATGGACTATTTCAAAGGTGTGTTCTCATTTACTCTAGAGTCTTAGATTGCAACTGTTTATTGTCTCTAAAAGAAATAAAAGTAGGCAATTCAAAAGAGGAAGAAGGCATTGATGCCAAGAATTTGTAAACAATTATTTGTATTCAAATATCCATGATTCTTTTTGTGTCAGGGATGAATGACTTATTATTTGTTGGAGTATATTCATAAAGAAAGTAAATATTAGCAACTAATAGTGATAGATGACTTGTTCTTTGGAAAACTTTGTTGTTTGGAGAAATTTGATTAATCAAAGATGCCAGTGTTAAGGATTTTTCCTTTAGTGTACGTGCTATTGTTTCTCTGTTTATTGCTTTTTCGAGCTTTGTACTCTACTGAAAATATGGTTCTCTATTACTTCTGGATCTTCTTTTTAGGTTAGATTAATAAAATCAGTTGCCAGCTCTGATTGTTCTTATTGTTATCATTAAACCACTTCATTATCACTGTTTCAAAGAAATATTTTAAACCTACATTACTTACGAAGCTGGATTATTCCTATGTTTTGTTGTTTCAATTTGGTGATGTTTGTTTGAACATTTATGTTTTATCATTTTACTCATGTAACTCATGTATTGTTACAGTTTGTGTAAGCAGACAATATTGTAAAACAGTTTGTAAATCACTGAATAGGCTGTGCTCGATAACAAAAATACAGATGAATAAATAAATAAATGAATAAATGGTTGAATAAATAAATCCAACAACTCATTACTCTCCTAACTTTTCAGGAAGAAGGAGACTCAAGGCTTGCAGACTTTCGTCGTCGGTTGGAACAGCAGAGGCTCCTGACAGAAGCGAGAGATGCAAGCAACGTTCCGCAGGTGCCTGTGATAGATGCAACCACAACCCACACTGGAACAGATCCCATCCCACAATCCATTGCTACACAGACAGGAAGAGGGGTGCCATCTTGTGACCAGACGGGTAGCAGATCTCTTTCTTCTGGTCAAACAGCATGTCTCTTACAGGAAAGAACTTCGACAAGTGACACCATGCAGGGAGAAGATGAAGAATTTTCAAATCAACGAGTATATCCAGTAGCGAGCCCTAATATTCAAGATGTTAGAACCCATAGGGGACATGAACTTGAAAGATTACCCAATATTACCCCTCATTTGCATATGTCCTGTGATATTCTGCCCTGTGATAAGAGAGGTCCCCATGTGCATTCAGCGAGAGATGTGGTAGACAAAGTAAAATTTGTTGGACATGGGAAAATGCACCATCATCAAACAGAAACAGACCATGAACACGCTTTTAGTGATGACCATCTCGAAAGAGACTCAGTGGTTAGAAATAATGCATCAGAAAATTTGCCTCACAGACAGACAGTGTTGCCTGGTGAGAATCAAAGAGCGACTAGTGAGGACAACAGATTGTTTAGTTTACCAAAGCAATCTCACCTTCAAGAAAAAAGACACAAATATGGGCCTGAAACAAGGACAAATGAAGCAGAGTTTACTTCTCCAAGATCAGAGGGACATCATGTTGGTGATGATATCAAAGGAGAAGACAGAATTTATCAATATGATGCAGCAAGAAAGGGTTATAGAACATTATCATCAAATGATATTCCAGGGAGAGGAACAATACTTGACCCTGAACTACAGACAGCTGCAGAAGATGCAAGAACAGCTCGTCAGCCTCAACCATCACCTACTAGAACAAGAACTCTGGAGGATACACCGGAGTACTCAACTGCTGCCATCACTATACAAGGAATAGATGCAAGCCCTGTTGCTAGGCAACAACAAAGAACAGATGATGCAGATAATGGAGAAGGAGCAAAACGTCAGTTACACTTTAGCTCCTCCTCGTCTATCAACAGTGCCATTGGACAAGTAAGTGTAAGATGTTATAAGCCAGTTGTTTGTAATTTAAAGGTTAACAAGTATCATGATATGCTATGTACATTATGAAAATGAAAGCATCTATATACAAACTGAAATTTTGCATTTCATATTTTGCATCATATTCATTGTGGCTGGGATCCGAGAAAATGTTGCCCGAATAATGTTTCAAAGGGTCTAATTGAAGCAACCTGCAAAATATCCTGAAAAAACAAAAAGAAACATGTATTACCCACCCTTGGACCCTTTATTGTTTTGTACATGTAACTTTTGTCATTAAAATAAGTTACTAACATTTGTGTTGTAAATAAATGAATTTGTTTTTTTTCCCTGTTTTTTCTCAGTTCGTTTTTTTCTTGCATGGTGACATAGGTACATACAGGTGGCATGGGGGAGGGGGAGGGGGGAATAAATATTGTACAGAAAATAATTCTTAGACAACTTAGATGCTTTTTGTTTTTCTTTATGTGTTAAAAGTCAATGTTGGAATTGCACATTAAATCACTTCCTTATATTTAAATCAAGATATCATTGTTTAAAGTCATTACTCGAACAGAGAATATGAGAGAGTGCTGAAAGTGTCTATTACACTTTACACAAGCTTTTGTGAGATGTATGTGAGGACATTGTATGTATAAAAATAGCCTATACATCTCATGGCTTTCAAATTACCAAATGAAAGTTTTTCCCCAGAGTGATTATTCATTCTCAGACTAAGAATGACATGAATTTATGTGTTTATAGATCCTTCTGTTTTTGTGTTAATGTGTATCAAATTTAGTTTTAGTTTCTAATCAAGGTATTATATTTTCACTTCCTCATTGTCTTGATGTACAGTATCTGCAGTGTCCTGTCCATGAAATTGTGTTAGAGAAATAGATCAATCCCACTTCAACAGTAATGTTTGATTAATTTAAGACCAGTTCAGTTCTGTTTATCTGTTTGCAGAGCAATGAAAATAAAAGCATATCAACTATAACATGAAATAAATGATTTGCAGTAAATGAATGACAGTAACGTGTAAAAAGAATACTGCCAGGAATGATCCATGGGCATTGCGCTTCTCTATATTTAAGACACATCTCAGGTTCCTCCCTCTTTTTGAATGATTGAAATACAATTAGAAATTATATAGCAAAGGCATTTCTCACAATATCAAATTCATGTACGGTGCTCTCGTTATGAGAGCAACCTAGTTCAAACCAGTAGCATGAGTAATTTTCTCTGATTTGATAAAAAGGAATACTGTTAACTCTGCATAACTCAAAGTCACACACATCAAATTGGAATGTTACTGAGACGAAACAATTTGGGCCAATGTCACCAAAACATTGTCCTGAAGTTACCGTAGAGGGAAGGTTATCATGAGAGAGACGCGTGATGGAGAATAAACAGATTTTATTCGATTTCTCAAGTTCCTATTGATTAAAAAACTACCTTGATACATGGATTTGGCATGGCTTTGTATTTGAAATCACAACAAAAACGAAATAATCAAAAAGGTATAAAATGAAATTGTTTTGGGAACAGAATAGAAAATAAGAACGTTTCACCATTTATGGTTTATTCTCCTTCTTTTTTATAGATAATCTCAAAAGTTTGCCATGACCTGATTATAGCATGTCTGTGTTTTCAAGAGCATACTCATCTCGTGCACACACTTATAATACGAATAAGCAATTAAGTACCACATCACGATGGCATACATGCTCATGAATAGGCTATCGTACCAATCAATCATTTGCTAGTTTTGAAATGTTACAGAGTGTTCTTTACAATAAGATCTAGTTTCATTTAAACTGATCTATTTTTCTTTTTCCATCTGCATATTGTTTGTTATACTCTATCTCTGACTTTCTCCTACATGCCATGCAACCTTCGATTTCAAAACCTCGTTAACATGAAGGGTTTTGTTACCATGTCATTAACACGAATGAAATCAATTTCACCTTGTTTTAAACACTTCTCAATTTCTAAACCTCTTGTCTGCCTCTTTTCTCTTTTTTCCTTTTTTTCTTTTTTTCTTTCACTACATAGGTCATCTGTAACAGGATGTTTAGTTCCCCAGTAGGTCGAAGGTCACAACCTCCCAGTCAAAGGTCAACTCCCTCCAGCATTAGATCATCTGCATTGAGTCAAGATACTTTGATGTTTACTCCACCAATGGGTGACAGGGTTCCCCCAAGAGAGAGAATTTCAAGAGGTATATATGTCAAATATACTGTTGAGAGTAAAAAGGACGTTAACTCTTTGTTAAATGATATGAGTCTATAAAGTCCTTCTGGCTGCCACCTTTTCCCATTTTTTAAACTCATTTTTTATTGATATACAAACAGATATCTTTAGACAAGAAGTATTAACTGCAAATTAACTGAATCAAATGTATTATTTTGAAATGCCCCCTCGCTTGAAGTATACATACTTCAATAATTCTTCCTAAAAAAATGTCATGAACCAAATCTATTTTCTTATGATTTTAATATCAGTCTAACCGTTCATTACACTGAAATGAACACAATCATGGCATATCTTTTAACCCAGTTTTTAATGTTCATAGTACCCTAAATTGCTTGTACATCTAACAACATGTATTTACTTGTACATAGAATGAGTGCCGGATGTTACTGGTTGATAAGGATGCTTCCATGATATATTAACCCATTTATCACTGGGCTCAAGGACTATTGAGTTGTTATACATATTTGAAACAACTCTTCATGAGTTTGCTTTCCTCTCATGTTGTGGTTGTCTGTGTATTAATTGTTCTCTCTATGATTTAAAGCTCCAGCACAAATTGAATGCAAAAATGATAGAAAATATGTTTTGTTAATTGAATCCGTTTGGATATATAATACACAATTTCTGTTGTATTTTTATTGTATATTTTCATTTATTTTCATGAAATATCTCTTTTGAGTCTGTTCTTTATCTCTCTAGCATTTTGACATCTCACGCCTCTCCCTCATCATCCATTCATTCATTCTTTCATTAAAACATTGTTCACAAATATCCTTATCTCCCCTTGTAAATTTCTTTATTTCCTTAACATCACTTACAAATATTTTCACACTTTTTTCTCTCACATATTATTCTATCACATTTCTAGGTCTCACTCTTAAACTCTCAGTCCATACTTCAATCAATCATAACTTCAAATTAAATCCCTATTTCCTCATTATCCATCACACTCTTTATACATACTTGTATCCAATCATTCTCTTTTGCAAAATATTCAATTCGTTCTTCATTATATTGTGCTATCAAATTGCTCTCTTTTCACCCTATCCCACTTTTCCTTCAGCTTGCTTTTAATCTGTGGTGCTTCTTTTTAGTATTTTCCCCCCATTGCATTCTTTTATTTTTCCCCCTTTGGAATAATTGTTTATTTTCTCCTGTTTTTAATTCTTTACAACAACATTTTCTTCAGATTCTTGTTTTACTTTTTTTAAATATTCAAAAAACAAATATGATTTGCTTTTTTTTTTATTCCTTTGCCATGCCCCTTAACCCTGGGAGAAATAATTGTTCATTTCATATATATCCTTCATTTCAGACAACATTTCAGAGCCTACTGATCCCAGAACCATTGACTCCGCGTCTGGAGCTAGCTCTGACAGCGAAGAGTTCAAGGACGATGAAATGCTTGAAGTCCTTCGCAAGCAGAGAGAAGAATGCATACGGCAGCTTAACCATCTAGATAACCTGCTTCCTCACACAAGTAAAGATTAACCCTTTAAAGCTCGTCGTTTATCTGTGCAGCTTTTATTAAAATGCATTGTAAGGACCAGTCGTAGTACAGTGTAACGAGTAAAGATAAACTCTTAAAACCTTATCATTGTGTTTTCTGTGCAGCTTTTATTGAAATTCATGAAAAGGAGTACATTTGCTATAGGTCTGTCATGCAGTGCACTCGGTGCAGTGCAAAGATAAAATGATTCTTTGAAAGAAATGGATTCATCAATGAATCAGAAAATATTTCGGGCACAGTCCTTTAAAACAGAAATACAGACAAACTATACAAAATATAAACATTACTGATCAATAGAAAATGAGCCTCCACTAGAGTTTTATCCTCATGTGATGAAATAAAGTTGAAGATCCTCTATAAGCACAATATTAATTATCTTTGTTGTCTGCAACTATACCACAATGAATTGATTAGTTTAGGATTCGATATTCCCAGATACAACTCAACTGCACTTAGATGTATAAATAACCTTTAAGTCGCCCAGGATTTACAATGCAAGAACTTTTTGCTACATACATTTTATTTTTTCCCTCCAAAGTCAATTATTCTTGTAGTCTATATTAGAAAATGCTGATCTTATTCAGAGTGAAATGGTGCAATGGTGTAGAAATTCTATGGATGCAAACCTGCAGTTAAAGTAATAATCATTAACATCAATATGTATAAGTTACAAAGCCCTCAAGATTTGAAACTAATGTCACATTATCAAGCACCACCATTATGCAGGAAAACATTTTAGATTTAATTTGATTGTACATCTTAAAGCTACAGGTTACAATTACAGATGATGTGTATTCAAATAGATAGAAAGAGGCTATTGTTAAATTACAAGTCAACATGTATCATTCAATGTTTTGAAATGTATGATTGTCCAACACGCACTATACACACATGTATTAGTTAGCAGCGAATTATAATTAAAGTGCTACTCATAGAAATATAGTGTTTGTCATCTTTGTACAGTGTTGCTTACAATCTGATCCTATAGATGGTAGTATTTATAGGCTAGAGTAGATGTAATAAATTTCAAGCCATGTACATCAAAGTTTTAATACAGCATAATATCAATATAAAGTGCATACTGAACTTCCACAGAACAGCAGGTTGTGATATCTTACTACAAATATTAAAGTTCCTCAAAATATGAAACTTTAAAGTTTAGTAACTTCAAGTAATTTCAAAATTCATTTGTGATGATACAATACTAGAATCTCTCCATCTATTCATATTTTTCTTTCTTATTTGCAATATCATAGTAAATTCTATATTATTATAACAATGTGCAGTTTGATGACAATACCTTCTTTTGATAAGTGTGTCCAGTTAGAATTAAGTTCAAAGAAATTAAATATTTTCTAAGCAATAGCATGCATATGTACAGTAAGAAAAACAAATCCTTTTAATGAACATTTACTCTTAGTCTCATCACATGAAAAAAACTATGTATATACTCAAACATACTGAAGAAGTTCAACAACTGCTGGCCACTTGAAACAGTAGCTGTTTGAGAGGGTACAAGTATACTATGACATTTCTCATGGATGGAGCAATTATCAAGGATTGACAAAATCCCATTATTATTATTTTTGTCGTTGCTACATTTATTTGGTACTTGCTTTCAGATGAAATATTTGACAGATCTCTTTCGACCATTCTTGAAACATGAATTTTCATTTAAACATCATCATTATATACATGTTTATGTACATCAAACCTTTATTTTGAATAATCATTGTTATATAAAGTATTAAAGATAGCATATGCACAAACAGGAACTTTGTTAAATTCTATTACTTTTAATATTTGTGCAAGCTTTATATAGATTCAGGTGAAAGAAAATTATGCACATTGTATATACTCAAACATGCTATAGAGGTCCAAGAACTACTGGCCACTATAAACAGTAGATATATGAAAGGGTACAAGTATACTTTGAAATGCCTCATGGATTGAGCAATTATCGACTTTTTTAAACAGAATGTTTGATTTACAAAGCCCCATTTCTTTTCTTATTCATTTTTTTTCTTCTTTGCTACATTTCTGTGGTAGTTGCTTTCAGATGAAATATTTGACAGATCTCCAACAATTCTTGAAACCTTATATATATATAAACATGTATATCTATACTTTTTTGGAATTATCATTGTTACACAAAATAGTAAAGATAGTGTATGAACAAACAGGAACTTTCTTAAATTATATTACTGTTAATATCTTCGCAAGCCTCATATAGGTTCAGGTGAAAGAAAAGTATGTACATTGTATATACTTAAACATGCTGAAGAGGTTTAACAACCGCTGGCTACTATAAATAGTAGCTGTTTAAGAGGGTTCAAGTATACTTTTGAATGTCTCATGGATTGAGCAATTATACACGTTTTTAAACAGAATCAAGGATTTACAAAGTCCGATTATTCTTCTTCTTTGCTACATTTATTTAGTAGTTCCTTTCTGATGAAATATTTGACAGATCTCCTTCGGCAATTCTTGAAACATTATCAAGATATATATAATTTTTACGAATAATCATTGTCATGCAAAGTAGTAAAGATAGTGTATGAACAAACAGGAACTTTGTTAAATTCTATTACTTTTAATATTTGGGCAAGCCTTATATAGATTCAGGTAATAAATGTAAGTATTTATGATATGTAAATCAAAACATTGTGAAAACTAAAAGTTTTTAAGTATATTCTTTTGCCTTTGTCATTTTGCAAATTATTTACCTTTTCTTGGATGAAGACAAATAAACGACCCCATTTTATACAAATGTTCATATTCAGTATTATTACAATTCATGATTAATTATCACACAACCAATCAAATGCAATGATTTCAATAGCTTATATCAATTATTGCAACCTGTTATTTCTTTTAGGTTATAAAAGAAGGCCCATATCCTTGATCATCTAGACTTTGATGTGTAAACAAGAAGGATAGTGCTTAAATACCATACATCTCAAACACATCATGCGTACCTGCCATCTGTTTAGCCCTTTCTTCGTCTTTTCGCATCTTCACCAAGTAGTTTCCGTACATGGGCTGTCCGTCTGGTGTAGTAGGTCCCATAGCACCTTTCATTCCTCCCTTGCGGCACTCCATGCCCTCAGCATGGTAGGATGCATCGTCGGTCTGTATGGGCGGCGGCATTCTGGCCTGCTCTTGTTTCCTCTTCTTGACCAAGTAGTTCCCGTACATAGGTTGTCCGTCGGGGGTTGTCGCCTTTGTGTCGGCATATTTCATCTCTCCCTTGCGACGTTGCGTGACGTCTGGGTTGAGAGAGGCGTAGACAGTGGGTTCCTCTGTCTGTATGGGCGGGGCATTAGGGGGGTGGGCGCGGTCATGCGAGACGGACATGTAGACCAACCCATCATCATCAACCTGCATGAATTAAAAGAAATTGATGAATAGTATTATGTTTCTTAGGGGGCTGATTTTGAGATCAGTTTGTGAAATGTGGGTGATTTTGAGTTTGAGGTTTACATAGGTTTGACCATTTCTAACATTAAGTTGAATACAAAATGATTAGGAATGGCAATCAAAAATAAATTAAAGTGGCAAAGAGTAAAATACAAGTTTGAAATTTTGAAAAAAAAAAGGGTTTCAAAGTACTCTGGAAGTTCAATTGATTTCCCTGTGAACTTTTTAGAAGTACAAATGTATATAGGTTGTTTCTACTTGGTGAAACTGATCACTACCCAACATGCATGTATTTCTTGAAAGAAAGTAATTAACATTACAAAGAAGTAATGCTATTAGGAGTTATCTTAATTACTGATTAAAAAAGAAAAACAGATATATAAATCGTAAATGCTAAAAGATGAACTTACCGTCCGGCCTTCTTGAGCGTTGTCTCCCTCATCTGCTTGGAGGGCACGGAATGAAATTAAATGTAAAGAGAATGTCACGCATTAAATTTGGGTTATTTTTAAATGAAAGTACGTGTTATGGCAATGTTCCTTTCTTATGAAGTTTAGAGTGTGATATGAATATTTGACTTGTGATCTGTATTGTATATTAGTGAGATTATAGATGTTAGTTAATAACAGATCAATACATTAATATATATTCAAGTTGTAATTGCTTATGTACTATGAATTTACTTCAAATACAATATAAAGAATCAAATCTTTACAAATCGTGAAGAAAAAATTATTTACTGTTGTCTTTTCATGGAAATTAAGTTGAGATGATATCCTAATCTTTATTCCTATGACTGTCAGTTAAGTTCCCTTCATCTTTTGTTTCTCCTGATAATTATCTTATATTCTTTTCTACAGTATGGACCTATAATCTTTTGAATACTTTTTCCTCACACTTTTTCTTACACTTCAACTCCTGCCTCATTATTAAAACTGTTATATTTAATTATTTGTGCTAATATGAATACAAGCACAATGTGCGAGAGATAAAGAGAGAGAGAGAAAGGGGAGATTATATACAGAGATGGTGAGAGAAAGTGAAAGCATATACATGTACAAGCTGGAGTAACTTATATGAGCAACAGGAAATTAAAAAAAAATACAACAAAACTGAAGACGAATACTGTACAGGAAGAGAGAAAGAAAGAGAGGAAGAAACTCTTAAAGGGGAATAGCAGGGGAATAAAAAGCAAGATAGGGATTTATTTATATAGAAATCAGAGAAAAACACAAATCAGTGAGGGAATAAATGTTGTCTAAGTGCTGTATAAGTGATAGGGAGAGAGAGAGTGAGAGAGAAGTAAAACGGAAGAGGAAAAACAAAACAAAAATAAAAACAAAACTGAAGAGGTGGTGAAATAAAAGAAAAGGTAACAAGAAAAATGAAGATTGAAGCCTAGAGAGGCTACTTTAATAATACAATGGGGAATATGTCTCATGTGTGTAAGTATTGTTTATTTAGAGGTGAATGCAGGGGGCCATTTGCTCAACGACATACCCTTCTTTCGTTTCACACAGCATAACACTCCATAGAAGTACATCAAACCCAGAGAAATGAGCAGGATGAAGCCAGCAGAGGCAATCACTCCAATAGCGATTGTCATGAAGGAAAGGCTACCTTCATTTGATGGCTGCTTCTCAACTGGTGAGTTTAGGACAAACAATACCATAAATACAATGTTGTGGATATTGACTTTTTAAACTATGTTGTTGGAGTTTGGTTTAATTGCAAAGTTTTTTATACATGGTTTACATATGGATGTTTAGTTCACATCCGTATATCCTCTGAGTTTCAAAAAGTGTTTTAAAAACCACTGTAGAAAAATGTGTTGTGTTTGGCAGAGTGCATATCTACCAATACTAGAACCCCCCCACACACACACAGTCACACACTCATGTATCACACACACCTGCACACATGCATGTTTATCCTCCCTATCCACACCTAAATGTGCATGTAATATGCAAATATATATGTGAACCCACCCACACATGGATCCACCCACACACATGTGAAATCACCCAAACCCACCCACCCACGCACAAACGTACAACTAAACATGAACTATTTCTGTCACATGCTCATTTCTAGTTCAGTAGGGGTCACTTTGCATAGTACCTTATCAAATTAAGGAAGCATGATATGATTATTCCATTGAATCAGGGGACTTCTACTCTTTTTTAGCCACTTCAAAAATATATTATACGTTTCAATTAACCCTAGTTTTGATCAAGATTTTGAGAAAATTTGTAAGCAAGGAGAATCGATGGTAAATGCCCACAGTTAATCTCGAAATATTTCCTTTTTATTATTAGTAATTATAAAAGGAAGGACAATAGCTTAACCTGTTAGATAAGCTGGTTTGCTGCACAGTCCCCTGCCAAAGGTCACCAAAATTGGGTCATCATCCGGGTCAATGCTGACCCCTGTGCCGAGTTCAACGCACTGTGATCTATTCACAAAGGCACAGTCTGGCCCGCTGTAAGTCCTCAGTGTGATGAAGCAGATTTCATCCAGGGTTTGGTTTGCCTCTGACAATGTTAAGATATGTTTCTGCTTGTCCCAGCTGGTGGTTACACCTATATGACGAAGAACAAAAAAAAAAGAGGAAAATCATTATGGTATTATTACTATTTTTAGAGAGAGACAGAGAGTGGGATAGTTTAAACCATATCAGACTTTAATGTTTTTTGTTGTTGTAAGAATTATTTAATTGGTTTATGAAAAGATGGTCTTAAAAGTAGTAGACATACAAGATTGAAAGTAAATAATAGAAACTTTCTTATGATTGCTCCGTTTTTGCATCCCTCTATATATTTGTGCTCAGACAAACTTTTGTTAAACATGTCAAAACTAACTATTCATTTCATGATCGCATGAGAGGGAAAACAATCTTGTTATTCTTTTGACTGATTCGAAATGAAAACTGAAATATATTCCTATATCTTGACTGGAGAAATATGACTTGTGCAGAAAATATTTTGTGGATCCCCACTGGACCCCTATCAAGAAAAAAACAATTCATGCTGATCAGGGTGTTCCATTCCACAAATGGTGCATAAATAGATAAAACAAATGAACAAATAAGAATTTTCTCTCACAGCCAACCAATAAACAAAGAAGATAACAAAAGGGATTTTACATTATTATAAAGATTTCGTCCTTACCATAGCTCTCGGGTTGCAATGCTGTGTAAAGCACAAACAAGGAAGCGTGGAAAAGAAAATAGAAACAGAGCTGTTATTTTAATGGCATTTTAAAAGTGGTTTTTAATCTCACAGGGTTGTGGTTTGTAACGTTTCGATTTCGAATGAAAGAAATAGTTATAAATAACTCAAACAGTTTCTTTCATCAATTGAAAAGTTGTCTGTATATTACGGTTTAGTCATTGCTTATAATCGAAGTATACTGTATAAAATATAGTAGAGAATGAACTGGATGGGGTTAAAATTACACTGGTCAAAACTGTAGTGAGCTTATCCTTTACGCATTATTCCTTATCCGACCATTACCATTAAATGCAGCATTAATAACAAATTGAATACCTAGAATGGCATCTGATTACAACAGTTATCGGAGAATACAATTAAACAATAACTCTACTTTTTGTGGTTAAATTTGATACATTCTCTGTAGTTGAACCCGTATAATTGTCCCTAATAAATATCTTTTTTTTAATAATTTTTTTCGAGTAAGATGTAATGTATAGTTGATTGAAAAGAAATTCTCATTCGGAGGATAAGGCAGTGGGGTCATACTAAAAAATAAAACTGAAGATATCTACTATAGAATGCAGACAAACCAGATAACAAAGTGGCTATCATATTGATCACCGCGTTCGAAGTGCAAATCGCCGAAAATTTTGTATGTAAAGAATAGACCAAAAAGATAAGCATTGACAACGGAAAATGTACCCCAAGAAGGAGGCTTTTAGTAATAAGGAATGTAAACATGTTTTCGGGGATGATTACATTTTTAGCATCAGGAACCCAAGAATACCTGAAACTACATGTGCCTTTCTAACGGAAAATGACGGGAAAATACAAAAGAATGCGTTCAGAAACGAGAAATGTTTTTGTATAACACGTGTTAGTGATTTAGTTCAAATGTCAATGAACATCTCGTTCAGAAACTTACGAGATGTTGAAGCCACTGCGGGTTCCTCTGCGCTACTATTCCCCGCGCTGTTCACTGCCCATAGAGTCATCCGGTACCAAGTGAATGGGTTCAGTCCCACTA